CGTGCCCCACATGAGGCTTTGCAGATGGTCGTGCTTGGGGGTCTGCTGGGGTCTGGGACAGGAGAGAAGCCAGGAGGCCTGGCCGTTCCTCCGATACAGACCAGAAGGAAGGTGGGGATGGCTGCACAGACAAAACTAACCCAGTACCTTTGGTATTTTCCTCTCCCAGGTACTTTCTAGGCCAGCCCTGCTCCTCCATTGCTCTCCCCTGACACCTCTCCCCAGCCCAGCCCAGCCCAGCAGCTCAGGGCAGGCTGACCCCATGGCAGTGCCCACCGGAGGGTGCTGCAGAGCTCTGGGCATTCACACCACAGCGCCATCCCCTATGAAGAGCACAGCAGCTCCTGGAGGACAGAGAGGTGGATTGTCCTCAGCATCAGCCCCGGGGCTGGGGGTCCTCCAAGGCACGAGGAGATGGAGGCCGCTGTCTCCCTGTCCATGCAGAAATAGGTTTCTCTTGGTCATTTATTCCCCCTGAAAGCACAGAGTTGCTCTTCTGCTCTTCTCCAGCCCCACAGGCACCCAAGCTGGTGGTGCTGCTCTGGTGCCTGAAAACCCTGGGAAGTCCCAGAAAGATCCCCTCTGATCATTCACCATCTCCAGGGGAACCAGCAGCCCAGCTTCTCAAAGGTTTTCTTAGCTAGGTCCATGACCTTGGGACCTGCAAGACCATCTCACATGTGGCTCTTGAAAGCTGTGTTCATCACCACAGCACCAGCTCCAGCATAGACTCCACAGCACAGGTGATGTTATTTCCCTGGGAAGCCCTGCTTCCTGCGCATACCTTCAGGATGGAGATGACCAGGGCAGCTGGGGGATCCCTGTGCTAGGAGGGAGATGTAGGAGCTGGGCTGAGCCTCCAGGTACAGCCACAGTGAGGGCTGGCTTCACACCAGGGCCATCTATCCGGCTGAAGGGAGACCTGTGGGTGAACCCTGCACCAAGAGAAACACTTCCCCACGTCTGCGTGTGGCCCAGCAGCTCACGGTTTGCCACTGTCTTTGGAGGGGTGTCGAGCGCCCAGCTTCTGGACATCTTTCCCATGTGGCTCCTGACTTCATGGACCTCTGGCCTGCCTCCTGCCCTGCCTCTCTCTCGCACTTTTCACAGAAACCCTTCCCCAGCTTTGCCCACCCTTTCTGCCTTTGCCTGCACCAGATCAGACCGTGCTTGACGGCAGCTTTCGGGGAGCGGATACCGAGTTTTGGATCTCTGAAGAAGAGCGTATGGTCCCCTTCTAATTGGAGCAACATAGTCAAGCCTGGAATAATTTACGACTGAATGGCCTTGGAAGTTGCTATATGTGATTAGATAGAAGGAAGTCCTGAGACACTTTATGCTTGAGTCGAATAGATGAGGAAGTTGTGCTAGAATCAACTATTTTTGTATTAGCAAGAAATATGTAAATAGGCCAGTAATGGAGTGAGCATGCCCAGAGACTGAGTTCAAAGAGCGGACACAGTGAGGAAGACTATCGATGACCACCAGAGGACCCTGGAAGACCACCAATGGGCATAAATGCACAAGCTTCAAGGACATTTACATATGTTAATTAGTTCCAGGAAATAGTATGAATATGGTAATAGTTTCCTAGAAAAGTAATGAATATGTAAATTGTGATTGCCTATAACCCTCTGTAGCTGAGTAATTCGGCGCACACACGAGGAGGAGCGATCCCCTGCGTGCCTGGCGCCATAATAAATAATGCCTGCTTTCTAAGGCTCCAGATTGAGCTTTAGAGGGTCCCTCTATTGCCAGCTTATGGTATCAGAGCAACGTAGAAATGAGGCCAATGAGGATTTGAAGTGCCAGGGCAGGGATCTTGCTCAGGGAGCAGTGGGAGGCAGGTTGCAGGTGCTCCCGCGTGTCCTGCAGGATTTAGGGCAGGAGAAGGGGCCCAGTAGGGGAAGCGGCTGCTTCAGGAGAGAGCAAGAACAACGGCAGTGGGACCTGGGGAGCTGTTGGCACTGTGCAGCAGTGGCCACAGCCCTCTGGGAGAGATGAAAGTGCCCTTCCCTGCTGAAAGGCTGATCTCCTGGAGCATGGCTTTCCCACATGGCCACGGTATCGCCCTGCTGTCCTTGCTGTAATGGGCAATATTTGGGCTTCTTCAGGTAGACTTCAAGACTCCCCCACGACACCTTCCCCACCTCTGTCCCTAAAAATGCCAAGCCAAGAGCCTCTCCAATGTCCGATCCGGGGGAGGGGGTTGTCACACATCAGATTTTCCCCTGCCCTTTGCAAGTCACAGGTAGAGGGCAAGGCTGCCAGTGCCATGGGCAGAGGGCAGCCTGGGTAGCCAGGTCCTGGGAGACCTCTGGTCTCAGGGGGCTCAGACAGGATTGCTGGGGCAGGCCATCATTCCCAAAGTCAGTGCCAAAGAGGATCCAAGCCTCTCCTGCACCATTTCACAGCTTTTTCCTGCAGCCATTCCCACAAAAGCAATAGCTAAAAGGCTCTGGAGAATGGGATCTGCCTTTGAAGCTGGTGATGCTCTGACCAGGGCTTGGGAAGGCCCTTCCAGCTCCAGTTTCTCTACTCTTCTCCATGATACTGGCACCCCAGACAGGACACAACAAGGTGGCACGGGCAGCCCCAGTCCTGCCCCTTGCTGGCACCGCCACTGCCTGGTGGGAGCTGAACCCTGCAAATGAGCCAAGAACCCTGAGAGGTTTATGAACAGCCCCTGAAAAAACAA